GGGTGGATTGATCTAAATCAGGGTTGGGCAAATTTTTGGCCCGAGGGCCACATCTGGGTGGGGAAATTGCATGCAGGGCCATGAACATAGGGCTGGCACAGGGGGTTGGGATGCGGGAGGGAGTGTGGTGTGCAGGAAGGGGCTCAGGGCAAGGGGTTGGGGTGGAGGAGGGGTGCAAGGTGCAGGAGGGGGCTCAGGGCAGGGGGTTGTTGGGGTGTGGAGTGTGGCAGAGGGCTCAGGGCAGGGGGCTGGGGTGCAGGAGGGGGTGCAGAGTGCGGCAGGGGGCTCAGGGCAGGGGGCTGGGGTGCAGGAGGGGGCTCAAGGCAGGGGATTAGGGGGCTATGGCCAGGGGGTTGAGATGCAGGAGGAGGTTTGGAGTGTGGCAGGGGGCTCAAGGCAGGGGGTTAGGGGGCTATGGCCAGGGGGTTGGGATGTGAGGTGTAGGAGGGGTTCGGGCTCCGGCCCGGCGCCACTAACCTGGAATGGCTCTGGGGTGGCAGCAGCGTGCAGGCAGGCTGACTGCCTGCCCTGGCCCCACGTCCCTACGGCCCCTGGGGGAGGGGGAGAGGGCCCCGTGTGCTGCCCTCGCCTGCGAGTACCTCCTCTGAAGCTCCCATTGGCCGCTGTTCCCTTTTCCTGGCCAATGGGAGCTGCGAGAGGGAGAGGGCAGGAGAATAGTTTGCTCAGCCCTGATCTAAATCAAAGTGATATAAATCACCAATTGTAATCACACTTTAAATCAGCAAATCTTGATCTAAATAATAGATTTCAATCTTGGTTTGCATTTCTATTTTTTAGTTATTCTCCTACAGAGAAGCTGATTCTCTGCACCTGCCGAAGAGGCTACTGCTGTGAAAAGCTGGTTTAGCACTTCAACAAACTCCAGTTCAACGTGCTAAGTTGGTGGCTTCCACCAGGGCTAGCTCTTTGACTTTCTTTAAAACACTTGTAGCAAACATGTACTCTTAATTTTTTTTAATTTATTTCATATACACCACAACATACACTATTTCACATATCTGACAAGTGCATACATTGAATTGGACAGTTTCCATTTTGTCATATTTTCATTCACCAACCACTCACCACAGTAATTACCAGGGTTTACATGCACATTTCATAGATTTTAAGGCCACAAAGGACCATTATGACCTGACCTGCAAAACAGACCAGATTTCATCAAACCCAATATAAATGCAAAAGTTTGTTCGCCTATGTTTCTGTTTCTAATGTAACCAATTGCCAGGGCTCTAACCACTGAGGTTTGAGGAGCTGCTAAATATGAAGGTGAGACAACATTCAAGAGGTTATTTGAGCAAACAGGTATCCTTCAAAAAATGTAAAATCAACGCAAGTGAAGCCAACAGAAAGGAGCATAACTATAGCAGGTAAAATGGAAATTAGGAATGCAAAGAGGGAATCTGAAAAGCAACCAAACACAAAGACAAATACCAAGAAACTCTTTGCAAAGTCTATCAGAAGCAGAAAGCCTGTTTGAGAATAGGTGGGTTAGCTAGAGCAGTGGTTCTCAACCAGGGGTACACAGAGGTCTTCCAGGGGGTACATCAACTCATCTAGGTATTTGCATAGTTTTAAAGCAGGTTACATAAAAAGCATTAGTGAAGTCAGTACCAACTACAATTTCATACAATGACTTGTTTATACTGCTCTACATACTATAAACTGAAATGCAAGTACAATATTTATATTCCAATCAATTTATTTTACAATTATATGGTAAAAATGAGAAAGTAAGCAATTTTTCAGTAACAGTGTGCTGTGACACTTTTGTATGTTTATGTCTGATTTTGTAAGTTTTTAACTGAGGTGAAACTTGGGGTATGCAAGATAAATCAGGCTCCTGAAAGGGGTACAGTAGTCTGGAAAGGTTGAGAGCCACTGGGCTAGAGCACAGAATCCTAAGAACCATAGAACTGTAGGACTGGAAGGGAGTTTGATAGGTCATCTACTCCAGTCCTCTACACTGAGGCAGGACTATGTATTATCTAAAACACTCCTGATAGGCGTTGTCTGACCTGTTCTTAAAACCTCCAATGACAGAGACCCCACAATCTCCCTAGGTAATTTGTTCCAGTGCTTATCTACCTTTACATTTAGGAAGTTTTCCTAATATCTAACCTAAATCTCCCTTGCTGCAACTGAAGCCCTTTATTTCTTGTCCTGCCCTCATTAGATAAGAAGAACAATTTATCACCATAAGGACTAAAAGGCACAAGAGAGATACTGAACAGAAATACCTTATTCTGATCAGACTCCATCCCAAAGTCTGCACATCTGTGTTCCACGAACATGTCATACTCAACAAAACTGCCAGGGTCCAGCAACAGAAGAATTCGCTCCCTTGCTGTCAGCTTTCCCTGAAATGCAGCAAACAACATTTAACAGGACCATCATTTGGTTAAAAATCCTGCAAGGCATAACTTAATACCACTAAAAGAAAACACGTGGGGATTAATATTTATCAAAGAGTCCAAAAGCATCCCCATATTTGTTTCACTAAGCAGGAGCCTCACCCCTTCCCCACAATATTTAAAATAAGGAAAGTAATCACAATATCAGTTAAGGCAAACACAATGCAAAATAAACTGGAAACAGAAAACAGACAGCTGGAAAGCAAATCCCATTATCACTAGAGGGAACATCAGGACAGAGGTGGTGCTCCCTGAGAGGTCTTGTTAAAAAGCTGTGTGGTATGGTGACTGTTTTTGTTTACTCTGAGCAGTTTATTTTGATGTTAGGATTATTTTTCTAATGGAAGAAAGCACATGGAAGGAATCATTTCACAACTAACTCAATTCAAACCATTTATCACAATTATAACAACGTTGTGCAAACAAACAAAAGAGGAAAACAAAAAAAACAGAGAGAAAGAATTGGATGGCTCATCTCTGCATTTCAGACAGACCTTTACTCTTTATCTCTCTCCTTTTGGCATTAGTATATTCAAAGCATTTGACATGCTGGTAGAGTCCAATAAGCTGTTCAGGTGTACTGAGATCCGTTGCTCAGTAACAATGCCAGGTAGTTATCAATTATTGTGAAGCTCTTACCCCTCCCCTCCCCCCCCAAAATGCCAAGGCCAAGGTTTTCCAAAACAGAAGTGTGAAGGGTGTTCCTGGCCCTTCATGGTACCCTCCTGGAGGCCCTAATGTCCCAGGAAGGAGCAGTGAAGGTGGGTCCCCTGGTTCTGCCTAGAATGGCTGTTTCTATGCAGCCTATCAGAGCCCAGCAGGCTAAGGTAAGTGCTGCAGGGCCTAAGCAAGTCAGTTCCAGGCTAGGGCAAGAAAGGGTGCTCTGCTCTGGTTAAAGGAACTTGATGGGCAGCATTTGTTAAACCTAGGAGCAAGAGAACCTAAGAGCTCTAGCCCTAAGTTAATGACTAGAGGTAAAAGAGACCAGTTGGGAAAAGGCCCAGGGAATGTAGCAGCAACCAATTAAAGGAAGCAGTATGTGACTGCTGTTTATAGGGTCCCTGGGTTGGACAAGGAGTAGTGAGTGGGTGGCCCAACTGGCTATTGGGAAAATGGCCTAAACGCTGAGAAGGGGACAAAGCTTTTTCAGAAGCCTGGGGGTGGTGGGATTTAAAGGGCCCAGAGACAGGGCTGAAGACCCTGGTGAGGGATGACAGTTTGAACTCTTTGCTACCCTGGAAGGAGTTCCTTCATTATGACTGTGTGACTTGGCTGGAGGGCTGAACTGCTAGAGATGTGCCTAGCAAAGCTGATAACCTACAGGGACCACCAGGAGCAGGAAAAGACCTGCACTACCAGATGCAGAGGCAGGAGGCGCTCAAGAGGTGTCCCCTGTTACGAGGACCCTAAAGTTAGTCTCCTACTTTTGTAACTTTGCTCCTAAACAAGTGACTGATTTTTTTTTAAATCAAAAGTGCTAAGCACCCAGCAGCTGCAGATTTTTGAAAATCTTTGCCCCAAAGTATTAGCATAAAGGGACACTACATGGGCTTGTCTACACTTACAGTGATGCGGTAGCGCTTAGTGAAGATGCTACCTATGATAACGGGAGAGCTTCTCCCATCAGTGTAGGTACTCCACCTCCCCAAGAGGCGGTAGCTATATCGATGGGAGAAGTCCTCCCATCAATATAGCTCTGTCTACCTGGGCGTTACATCAGTATAACTGTGTCACTCAGAGATGTGGATTTTCTACATCCCTGAGTCACGCAGTTATACCGAGATAAGTTTGTAGTGTAGACAGAGCCATCCCTTGGGTAGGGTGAATCGGCGTGACCTCTCTGGGCCCTGCGGGACAGTGCAATTGGCCGGTGTGGTAGGTCCCGGAAGAGACAAATCTGTCACTTCCGCCCCGGGCCCTGCACCCCCCTGGGGGCAGCCCTGAGTGTAGACCAGGGCTTTCACCTTTGATTTCTTAAATTGATACATGAAAAATCATGTGAACTTTCAAAATAGTATTTCATGTTGTTGACTCTTTAAACTACTAGTCTAGATCGTTCTTTCCCAGAGATAAGCAAAGCAAATGGGTTTCTCAGTTTTGGTGTCAGGGTAAAGGGATAACATGGAGGTACTCAGCAAAGTCTGCCCCGGCCAGAGCAGGGTGTTATCCAGAGCCAAAAGGACTGGGCTCTCAGCACTGCATGCCCTGAAAAAGCCAGCCATTCCCTGGAGAGTAGGGGCTGCCCTGGAGGAACCAAAGCCAGCAGGAAAGGCTGGAGGGCAGTGTAAGAACAGAACAGAAGCACAGCATGACTAGCTAGATCCTCTGAGGAGGAAAATCAGAGGATTTATCAAAGCAAAGTCTGGGACAAGATTGGTACCAATCAGTATCGTCCAAGTGTCAATGTGACCTGAATTAGCCTCCTGGAAAGTTAAATAAACCTACATTCTTGGAGCTAGTCTTTCTAAGGCCTGCAAGCAAGTCCAGCTGACTAATGGGGTGAGGGAAGGACAATCCTTGTGATTTGTTCTGACTAGATAAAAATACAGACTTAACTTGCAAGAACCCATCTCTGAAATCAAGCAGCAACTGTCTGTGAGCAAAAAGGAATAGGCGTAGGGCTTCTATGGGTAGCATTCCCTGGTTCCACAGTGGGTGCCTATTATTAACATTTTATCCCTTGTTGGGTCTGAAGGCCTCCCCTCCCCTCCAATCAACTCAACAGTACACAAGATAGCGGGGACAAGTCAATGTACAGGAATTACCAAGGTATTTCCCTCTTCTCCATTGCCGAGAAGATTCTTGTTCGCATCCTTTTGAACTGTCTCCTTCCTCTTGCTGAAGACGTCCTTCAGGAATCCCAGTGTGGTTTCAGACTGTCTCGGGGCACCACCACCATGATTTTTGTTGCACGACAGATCCAAGAGAAGTGTAGAGAACAACACCAGCCATTTTTTATGGCATTTATTGATCTAAGGCCTTTGATTCAATCAATCATGAAGCATTATCGAAGGTGCTGTCTAGGTTCAGTAGTCCATTGAAGTTCATTCATGTTCTCAGGCTACTGTCACTGTAATGGATGGGAGACGGACCTGTTCACCATCCGTACTGGTGTTAAACAGGGCTGTGTTATTGTCCCAGCCTTTTTTTCCCCCCTCGATCTATCTTGCAATAATCTTGATTCTTATTTGTGACTACCTTTCTTCTAGAATTGGGATTGCGTATTGCATGGATGGCCTGCTTTTCAATTTGTGATGTCTTGATTCTAAAACTAAAGTCACCAGGACTATTATTACTGTCCTTCAGTATGGGGACAACTGTGCTATCCTCGCGCACACTGAGGCTGACTTGCAACCCACCTAGATCGCTTCTCAGGCACCTATCATAGCCTGGGACTTTCCCGCAACACTGGGAAGACAAAGGTGCTCCACCAGCCTGCCCCAGCACAAGTTTCCCCCGTTCTCCCACATACTGTAATCAGTGGTGAAACCATGGAAAACATTGAGCCCAGATAGCCAATCTTGATGTGGCGATTGAACAAAGGATCTGTTGTGCCAGCATATCTTTGGAACATTGCTTCGTTATGTCTTTATTGACAGAGATCTGTGGATGGCAACTAAGATCCTGGTCTACAATGCAGTAGTCATCCCCACTCTTCTTTATGGGTGCAAGACATGGGTGACATATCGAAGCCATGTTAAGCATCTGGAGTGGCACCAACAGTGCTGCCTTAGGAAGCTTCTCTGTATCAGATGGGAAGGCCATCACACCAATGCCAGTGTTCTCTCTGGAGGTAACATCACCAACGTTGAGGCGAAGATTATGAAACATCAACTACATCGGGCTGGTCGTTGTGTGCAGATGGCTGATACTTGTCTTCTGAATCACATTCTCTTTTCTCAACTTAGCCATGTTAAGAGAACCCATGGGGGAACCCATAGAGGAAATGCTACAAGAACACCCTGAAAGTATATCTTAAGAAAGGAGACCGTGATCATGAATTGGGAAGAGTTGACTGGAAACAGACTGCAGTGGCACTGCATCACACATCAACCCTCATGCGGTTTTGAAGACAATCGCCTTGCTCAAGAGGCCGAGAAACAGCAGAGGAGGAAGGAAAAGCTACAGCATCCCAGCCAGCAGATGTGCTCTTTCCAAGCAACCACTTGTCACATATGTGGAAAAACATATAAAGCATGAATTGGACTCCTCAGCCATCTTAAGTCTCATCAATGACTTTTCCCCCTGGCAGATATCATCCTCGTATTGAGGGATAGCCGATGATGACACAAGATAGACAAGGGCATTTGGTTAGGGTTGTCAGTAGTGCAAATGTAGCTCTGCACCCAGTAAAGGACTGATCAGAAATTACAGCTGAACTGAAGCAGGAACGGGAAAATTCTGAAAATAGGGTGCCAAACTAAGGAGTTTGGTAGAAATAGGTACACAGTCAAAAATAAAACAATGTCTACACAACAATTAGAGAAACTTAAAATCAAACACAGGTAAAATGGAATGCTTGACAATAGAAGATGACCGAAACATAATAAACAATATTTGAAACATGGCAGAATGAGAAACAAAATAAACAATGGGATTCCATCATTCCTGGCTATAAATTATACTGGAAGGGCAGATTAGGTTATATGGGTGGAAAGTAGCACTAAAGATTGCAGGGAGTTTAATGAGATCAGATCTCAGATTTCTCTGAGCAGAGAGGAACATATAGTATAATCTGTACAGGAAAAGGTGTGTGCACTTCAAGACATTTATGACCATTCTGATGGCCCGCCTCATGAACAAGGTTTGGCCTCTCTTCAATGATGTGGCTAAGACTAAAAAAAATTCAGCCATCCAAGTCTGTGGCTCCCAGTATCCATGGATCAGATCAAATTAGACGCTCCCATGAGGCAACCCAGCGTTAAGTATCCTTGGACATGAGTATATCCAAGAAAGGGGTTTTCTGCATGCTCTCACAGGGCTTGAGAAGTTCCTCGAAAAGGGAAACCATATCTAAGAAGACTCATCAACTGTGAAGTCTCAACTTAGGTTCTGTGTTTCCTTCAAGGAATAACAGATTTCAGGAGAGGACTGGGCAGTACAGGACAAACATTTCTGTGGGAAGATCTGGGACTGGTGATATGTTGGGATCACCCTGCAGCATAACTAAGGCTGGTAAAAGCCAGTGTGGCTAGTCGGCTGGTTGGCTGCAGCACACATACCAGACATAGCCGAGAGTAATTTCCATGCTGGAGGTTCTTGTCAGCAGTCCAAGTTGGAGGCTATAGCAGCAAGGCATTGTAAAGGGCACTCCAGGTTATAGTCCAGGGGTGAAACAGCTACTCATTAGTCTGGATTATGCATGTCATAGTGGCTTAAACCCCGAAACACAGGTCCAGCAGTGTAACTCATCGAAGACCTCCATCAGCAGAATATGTACAGTGAAACCTGTTATGAACAGCTACTGATGGTACCAACAAAAAACATTCCTGATAGAAACACTCTCTTAAGGTCAAACAAAACTGTCCTGGCAACTTTAGGGTTACTTAAGAACAGGGCTGCCTGTGGAACATGCTCCTTAATGCAGATCTGACTATTGGTGTCCTTCACATTACACT